CATAGAGAACTCTTGATAACTCTGAAAAGGATGTTTTAGCTCTCCACACCGGGACTTCTGTAGGGTGTGCAAGTGGGAAAGGATTCAGGTTTCTTTAAGGGACTGGCCATGGGGAATTTGAACATGCTCTGTGAGTGTAAGAGCAACACAAATTGGCCTTGGCTTTGGGGGGATAGAATAGAGAGTGGACCTGGGAGGAGTGGGAAGTGAGTGTGATCAGGGTTCATGATGTGTAATTCCCAAATAATCAATAAAAATACTATGTAAAATTTTTTTAAAAAAAGACTTAGTTTACTATAAATGATCCTGATACAAAGAAAAATCCTATTTTCATAGAGATATTAGTATTTTAATTTTTAATTATTCAAGATCTTGTGCTTTATTAAAGAATTAAAGAATAAATTCTCTCAAATAAAAATAATAAGGCTCAGGATAAACCTCATAATCAGAAAAAAATTAGAGTGGAAATTATAATGGCAAGCTCTATGGAGAGCTAAGAATGGGAGGGAACGTGCTGCTGTAAGAAGGAAGAGGAAAAGCTAGTGGATGTCCAAGTGAAGATGGAAAAAGTAGAACTAAAGAAAGAAAGAAAACTTGAGTCTAGGAGGGAAAGCAGCACCTTAACTTCACCTTCAGGAAGAAAAGTCTCCAGGCCAGGTGGCTCAGTGGGAGAATGCCTGCCACCGTCCTGATGGCTGGGCTCAGGCTGTGCACAGCTCTGGATGTGCGTCCCACATGGAAAGAGAGGAGGACAGACCCCACAGGTTGCTTTCTGGTCTCCACATAACAAAATTCTTCAACATCTTGGAGGGAGAAAAGATAGAAACATCTGTAACATTTTATTTCTTTGGGCAAAATATGTAATTTATACACATAAGTTATGTCACAAATATCACATTTATTGAAATATAGTTCACATACCATATAATTTAGTCATATAAAATGGATAATCCATTGATTTTTAAGCATATTTGCCAAGTTATAAAACTGTCATTGTCGTTACCTGGAGACTATTCTATCATCTTACAAAGTCTCTGGACCATTTTGTTGTCATCCCTAAGCTTCCTTATCCCCCCTCAAGCCAACCACTAAATGTGAGCAAAGCCCAGCAACGTGAATTCTTGCATGTGAGATTCACGTTTCAAAATGTATCCACCCTACAGCATGTCTCCGTATAGTCTTTATAGCTGTGTGACTTCCCGCCATATGACCACACCACATTTGCTTATCAGTAAGCAAAATTTGGGTCATTTCCACTTTTGAGTTTTATCAATAATGCTGCAATGGGCATTCCTATAAGCTTTTGAGTAAGCATAGTTCTGTGTTTCTCTTACTGAAACAAATATGAATTCCATGTTTTTGAAAAGTAGTCAAAGTGTGTTCCAAAGAAATCATGTCACTTTGCCTTCCTACTAGCAGTATGTGGGTTCTGGTTTATCTCATCCTTCCTAACACTTGCTATTGTCTCATTTTTATTTGTAGCCATCTTACCAGGTATGCAGTGGTATACATTCTGGTTTTGATTTGTAGTCCTCTTTGAAGACAGCTGCTCATGGCTTGTCCATTTACTGTCTTATTGTTGCATTGTAGGTGCTTTAGTGCAGTGTCCTGGCTATCAAGCCCTACACAGATAGGAATTTATAAATATTTCCTCCTGTTCTGTCGTTTGCCTCATCAATTTGTTGCTAGTCCTCCTGAGGCACTGAAGGTTTTGGTCTGGGGAGTGAGCATATAGCTCTAACGGAGTGCTTACCTAGCAGATGAAAGAAAACAGAGATGGTCACCAGCATGGCACACAAAAAAAAAGGTTCTATCTTGATGGAGTCCAACCTGTGTATTTTGTATTTTATTGTATGAGACTTTGGTGTCGCATCCAGAGCACCTTTGCCATATCTGGCCACCAATTTTGAAATACCCACCCTGATGTCTTTCAAATGGTTCATTAAAGGATTTAAAGGATTTAGAGTCAATTATTTCTCTTTAGCAATTTACTCTTATAACTATGGAAGATTGTCATAATTATACATTCAATGCCAACTTTCTTTTGATTCTTTGTTTTCCTAATTATTGCCAAATGCATTAGATTATAAGTTTTAAAAACGTGGAAATAGTGCATTGTATTCTGATTCAAGCATTCCCCATGAGCAATAGTGAGCAACACTGTTGCCAAGTGACTTTATTAGGAACAAAGTCTTAACTGATTAAAGACCATATTATATATCAACTGTAAAATGAGTTTCCAGCTTTTCTGCCTCAGTCTTAAAATACATAATTTCACTTTGGCTTGGCTAATAGAACTCTAAAGCTTCAAAGACACTTTGAATCTAAAAAGGAGGTCTTATGGTTATGACGCTCACTTGAAATTCAAGTACTTCTTTGGAATTTGAAGCTGGCTGGAAGTTACATTCAATGTGTGTGTGTGTGTGTGTGTGTGTGTGTGCAGGAGTCCATGTGCCACTGTGCATGTGGGTAAGACAAAGGGCAAGTTTGCTTCTTCTGTATTGAAGCAAAGTCTCTCTTGTTTCTGCCTTGCAGCTTACTTTACACTAGCTGGCCAGCAGCTTACTTTACACTAGCTGGCCCGCAGCTTACTTTACACTAGCTGGCCCACAAGCTTCTGGTCAGTTCTCCGTCTCCACTCCTCATCTCAGGTAGGAGTGCTGGAATGACAGATATGAGCCACTGCATCTGATAGTTTATGTAACTCCAGGAATTGAATGCAGGTCATCAAGTGTGAATAGTTCACTCATATCTACTGAGCCATCTCCTGACCCTCCATCTTTTTAAATTTATTTCATTTTTGACAGAAGGTCTCTCCCTGCACCCGCAGTTACCTGATTTGGTTGGCTAGGCTGGCTGGCCAGTGAGTTCCAGGATCGACCTGTCTCTACCCCACAGTGTTGGGCTTGACTGCCCTTTTCCAACGAGTGCTTTTCCAAGGGTGCTGGGGTCAGAACTCAAGCCCTCAGGCCTGCACGGCAGTTGCTTTGCCCGTGGAGCCATCTCAGCAGCCCACAAATGAATCATTTATAGCTATCAAATAATTCATAACTTATCTGTGATAAATATTTGAACAATATGAAGAGCTCCTTTTTAAACTTTATGGTTTTATTTAAGCTGATGTGTACTTCTCAAGGATTTCCTAGTCCCCTAATTTTGAGGGAATTATTATTATTATTATTATTATTGTGGAAACATAAGACTTGGTCCTCCTACCTCAGAGAATTTGCCTTCTCCTTGTACAGCCTAATGGCACACATGATGGTATTTTAAAAAGAAATAAGCATTTACCATGAAGGGTCTAAGTTAAGAGTCTGAGCTGCTCTGGACCTCTGCAGGCATGGAGGGTAAGGTCTGACTGGAGAGGGCTGACAGAGACCAATACCACCTAGGTGAAACCAGTGTTGTGAACATGTTTCACCCGCCTGAGGGCGGCCTGAACCCCATTACTGGAAGCAGAGCTGTGTGCTGTGACCAGCTGAATGGCTCAGGTGAGGGCACCTGTGGAAGCTGGCGGAACTGGCATGATGATGCAGTCAAGTGCTGAGAGACACGGTAGATGATGACCAGAAGGGTGGTGGAACGTAAAGTCTGTCTGGTGGGGCGCTATACCATAAAGGGTTCCCCAAAAGGCCACCCTCCCTTTTACCAAAGCCAGGAAAGGGAAATAACTTGTCAAGATCACCCAGCCAGAAAATAACAGATCTGTCTCAGATTTTCTTTTCACTTAGAGTCCTGTAATCTTTCTCTTACCACAGTCCTTCTGAGTTTATTAAGAGGAAAGAAAATGAACAGAACAGATAAGTCAGAAGCTCCTGCATGGAAAAGTCAGAGCCTGATGGGTGTATACTTAAGTGGCTGGGGCAGACAAATGCCTAGAAAATCTAGTGAAGGATTTGGCTGCTTCCTTTCTAAGATAAGGTCTCACTATGCAGCTCAGGCTGGCCTTGGAACCTCGCGCCTGGTCATCCACCTCTGCTTCCTTCCTGCTCAGATTACAGGCAGGAACTACCACACCTGGCTGTGAGCTAACAAGTATTTTTTTAAATTTTATTCATTATTTGTATGTGTGCAGTTTGCGTGTGTACATACATACATACATACATACATGGACAGGATATGTGCGGAGGTCAGAGGACAACTTTCAGGAACTGGGCTCCTCTTTCCACTGTGGCTTCCCTGGATCAAGTCCAAAGTGTTAAGATGTGCAGCATCTTAACCGTGGACCCATTTCCATGGCCTTGACTCAGTTATTTCTAAAAGCCAGTATCTGGTTTCTTTCTCACTTTAATCAAGTATTATTCCCAGAGTAGGTTTGGCAAATGTATATGAAGCAAAGCTGAGCAGATGAGTAAATCAATTAATCCGTCAGCATTACTCCCCCTTTACCCCGGCCCGCCCCGCCCCACCCCACCCCGCCCCGCCCCACCCCTCCATACTCACCCCTCCCCACCCTGCCCCGCC